AATGCACACATACAATGAATCTCATCCAGCCAACTGTATTGTCTGACTCTGTACACGATCACAAGACAGAAGATTATATCTTGCGCCATGTCTATATTGGCCAGATGCATACTGTCTAAGAGAAAGGTTCCGTTTGGATCACATACCTTGGTAAATGTGATATGAGGGTTCCGTTTGGATCACATACCTTGGTAAATGTGATATGAGGGTTCCGTTTGGATCACATACCTTGGTAAATGTGATATGAGGGTTCCGTTTGGATCACATACCTTGGTAAATGTGATATGAGGGTTCCGTTTGGATCACGTACCTTGGTAAATGTGATGTGAGGGTTCCGTTTGGATCACGTACCTTGGTAAATGTGATGTGAAGGTTCCGTTTGGATCACGTACCTTGGTAAATGTGATATGAGGGTTCCGTTTGAATCACGTACCTTGGTAAATGTGAAGTGAGGGTTCCGTATGGATCACGTACCTTGGTAAATGTGATATGAGGGTTCCGTTTGGATCACGTACCTTGGTAAATGTGATATGAGGGTTCCGTTTGGATCACGTACCTTGGTAAATGTGATATGAGGGTTCCGTATGGATCACCTACCTTGGTAAATTTGATGTGAGGGTCCCGTATGGCTGCCTCTGGCGGCTGTGGCAGAGACATCCTGCACTTGGAGCGGATCATACTACTGACAGCGGAACACCGGAGTGCTCACTTCAACACGTCATTTTAAGGTCCCTCATTTCCATAAATTATCATACCAAAGTACTCCACGCGCTATATAACACTCCTCAAGGAACCTCGGGGGATCTCTTCAGCTAACAATTTGCATAAGGGATGAATGAAGCACCATCTTTTCAGCCAGTTACGATACTTCTTTGAGAGACAGTTATGAAACTGCTTCTTTTCGAGATTTTGCAGGGGTTTGAAGTAAGGTAGGCTCTTAATTGTTTTTATTTATCTTCTATATCTGGGGCCGGTGACAGTGTACGTGGCAGTGATCACGCCATTGCGGTAAGGTGGAGATGGAGTTGGAGGGGGGAGGGCTTGACAGGGCCATGGGGACCACTTTCCCCGCATAGCAACAAACTCCTAAACCTCATACGAGAAGTGATCATCCAGTGCTAAAAGACTTAGATTGTTCTATATTTTGCCCTTACTTTTACTGCGTGGCCATTAATCCTACGTCGGACTGTCATAGCCTTGTCTCTGACAGAACAACGGAACTTAATCACGTATTCTTAACACAACTGGGCGGAAACTGGGGCAGGGGACAGTAATATTTCTAGTGGAACGACCAGGAAACAGATAGGAGGGAGGAGGAGATATGGGACAGTACCAAAGTTAGTGAGTGAGTTAGATGTGACGACGATTTGGTCACATTGGAAGTATGGTGCGCTATTAACTTGTCATAATTTTGTAAGTTGTCACAATATTTGGTCAACATGCTACAGAGCTTAAAAATCTATTGAAAGTAATTTTACTTATTGCAGTGTGTCTCAGATTAACATGTGATAACGGTTCGTGATGACACTCGAGAAGTGAGTGAGTGAGAGGGTAGTTAGCGTTTAGCGCTGAAGCTTGCACGCTTTCTCAGCCAGCACGTTGATTATACTTCTACTCGGGCGCCAGGTCCTGGGTTTCAGCTGATCAAGGGTATTCATCAAGGTAAATTCAGGATTCGAACCGAAGAACATAGCGTTCTGGTAATCCCTAGAGACGCTTCTCTGTTCGGCACAATTTGCCGTGTTTAACATAGCCTAATACATTTATGATATTATCCGAAGTATTAACAGTAATATTCCAGTAGACGTGAGACATGATCCTGTATGTTTCAGCGATATCCTGCCGACTACTTCGTGTCCAGCCACCAGCTGTCAACGTTATTTCAGTTTGGTTAGTTGTTGTTACGAACAGGCCTTGAGAGGGATTAAAATGTGCTATTTTAAAGTACGTTTTACACATACACCCCTACGCCATCCACAGATGCCTCGGCATGTGTGAAGTCAGTGGACGAGTATGATGTCAACAGTTTTATAGGACCGGTGTGACACTGTGTCAGTTGCCTGTTTACCATGTCAATAGACAGTCAGATTTAATTACACCATTACATCACACCGCTCTCATAGATACATTTCAGGAACCAGCACATACTGCAGCAACTATAGTACATGCAATTGAATTGCTTGGAAACATCCTAGGTGGAATCGGGTGGGTGACAGCCTGAAGTCGCAGCTGTGGCCGAGCTTATGGATCTCGCCAGGTCACGGTGTGTACTCCTCTCACATTAGTTGGACTTCTCGCCATGGAATCCACCAGTTCTTTTTTGGTGAAGCAGATTGCAAGATCTAAGTTCAGTGTCTTGGCGAGCAAATGCCATAGATATCATTGGCGAGTTCAAAATCTGATTTGAAAAAACCCCAAAACATACACAACCAGAGGCAATTTAGAACCTCGCATGAAACCAGACTCCAAAAAGTGATCGTGAATTGTTTTGGAGAATATTCCAATTGTCAATATCATTTGGAAACGACTACCTGATTTCAGATTTGTCAGACATGAAAATTCGTAATAGCAGTTTATCTATCATGGAAAACTAAGTCAATGCACAAAGTCATACATGCTGCTTCATTTACTTACACCAAACCTACCAAGCTTCTCGATGTTGTATGTGTTCGGTGCCTCACTAACAGCCTACCGAGTTCAGTGATGCGGGAGAAGAAGATCAGTGAACCGTCTCCTGTCACGGAGGAGCTGATACTAGGTACATCTTACCTGTTCCTCGCTGCAAAGGGACTCACAGTATCAGCTGAGTTGACACTAACGGTGTCGCCCTTGTAGTTCCCAGCTGTCAGGCTTTAACTGCTTGAGAACTATGGATTACCAGTGGAGAGAGCAAACATGGTGCAGGTCACCAGATTATGGCATTGCAGAATGGAGAAGAAAAGGCTGACGCACTGCTGTCGTATCATGCATTCAGTTGGTGCCACATTTTCAGAGGCATTGGGAAGAAATCAACACTTTACCAGCTTCCCTACTGCAGGAACATCTTTGTGTCCCACGTTCATCACACATGTCTTTATGGCAGGACACGTCGCCAGGTGGAACCTAGAAACGTCTGTTGCCAAGCGGGGACGGCAGTTGGTATACGTCATACACAGGCAGCTGTTACTGACTGTTGCTGACTATGTGAAGAAGGCTATATATCACGCCACACATATATCACTGCACGCAGCTCCCGCCAGGCCCATAGCACGGGCATGGAGCAGGAACATCGCCGATCATTGGATTGCTTTGTAGTCAGCACTTCCAGAGGCTACCAAACCAGGAACCGATGGTTTGGTAAGAAAGCATGCATGCCATTGTGCACATTTCCGTGCACTGTGAAGTTGTGCGTGAAACTGTCAACGTTAGGAGTGACCAAGACGTTGCTGCTACTTCCAGACAATAGTGGGTTGAGCAGTAGTCTCATCTATAATGTGTGTATTTACATAAAACATGTAATACAGCTCTTCAGACTAAAACTTCTTTATACATTGTGTGACGCAACATTTACTCATGCATTTAGATGACTGAAGGGATTGTGGTAGGAATATCTGATTTTAAACTACAAAAATATAAAGATACTGCATTATCATTTCCATCACATTTCTTGGAGAAGCAACATTGGTTTGGCAACATAAATCAAGCATTTATACGCCCTGAATGTTGGAGCTACTCGATGGTGTCCATTCCGACATTCAAGATCGCGGCCGCAACTGAGATCTGATCTATATCTTGATTTCATAAAATACAGCCTGTCGTGGTGGACCAACACACCTTCAGTGAGCCTCCCGCGGCGGTTAACATTTCTACTCCAACCCCACTAGGCAACCATAATACTGACTATTAATGCTGTGACCATATGATAGACACTACCTATTCAATTTCTTTGAATCACAGAAAACCGAATCAGTTCCCATATCTCTCCAGTGAAGACAGGCCTCTATACACTTCACCAGAGTCTGTTGAAGAAGTTATGGACCCAAGATGTTCAGATCATGTTTATGTTCAGAATCTCACAATACGTGTTTGTGGTGGAACCAGTACCATGTAATACTAATCCTGGCCCGACACTATGGGAACAGTAAGTGTTCTGGGCCTAGATTTTCGAAGCTCTCTTAGCGCTAAGATAGTCGTAAGTTAATGTTAATGTATGGCACTTACGGCTATCTTAGCATTAAGAGAGCTTCGAAAATCTAGGCCCTGGTTTAGACAGATCGTCACTGGTGGATGCAGCCCAAACCACGGTTATTGTGGGGAGGCCAGTACTCCAGCCATGTCAGGGCGTCTCTGTTTCATGTGGGAGGGCATCCCCACCTGATGCAGATGCCGACAAACAGAATCAAGGGTTTTACATGTGTCTAAGGGACGCAACTCTGTATGGCACAAATTAAGGGCCCTGAGACGATGACGACGACGCCACTCACCCACCCATTACCCTAAAATAAAACGACAGCAACAAAATACAACCTCTCAGAATTACATAGGCACTACAAGAAGCGGAATACACTCATTTAATTTCGTAAACAATCAACACCGGACACGCCATTAATAGTTATGAAACATTTTACTGGTCTGAGTACAATACAACATGTAAAATCACAACGTCATACATACCTCCTGAGTAGTTGCTATGAATACATTAGTCAATGTGATGATCACGAGTTGCTCGATATAAACACAGCCTTCAGAAGCCTACAATACACCTAGACTAACTACCAATATGGCTGAATCACATTTCATAACTAGGGCACAGAATCATATTCTCATTTTAATCTCAATTTCACTTTTGTTGAATTCATCTCAGGAGGGATATTTCCGTTTATTTTCATGGATCAAATTGTTGCCAGCAGCGCCGCTGACGATGACGTTGCTTCCTGTATCTGCGTTACAGAAGATCACAACATCATCACGCGACTTGAAGCTACATGTGCAGGCTGGAGTGAGTGAGTGAGTATGGTTTTACGCCGCTTTTAGCAATATTCCAGCAATATCACGGCAGGGGACACCAGAAATGGGCTTCACACATTGCACCCATGTGTTGAGCAGGCTGGAAACGTAACTACTGAGTAATGAATGTAGATATAATATGTAGCGCTAATTAATCAAAAGTACACAAATGTGAAGTTCTCTCGGAGGTTAAAAATAGTATAACGAGAGTCCAGCGTTTGTTCCTCATTACTATGGCCTCTGTACACCGTATGCCCTGAACGTGTAGATGTGTCGAGGTATTAAAATAGGTGTTGACAGACTAGTCGTGGAGCATCGGACATCATCAACAGCTCATATCTTCGACGTCGTCTGCATTGTAACCTGTAACACATCAACATGTTGTAACACGTACAGAACTGGTAGCAGTTTCAGGGTCTTCCTATTCTATAAACCTGCTCGGTGTCTATGTCAAACACCAACGATAACGTTTCTTCACAAATGACTTTCGTCTTTCTTACATAAGTTACAACAGCTATATTCTCCTACAATTATGGATCCAAATTTTCTCCGTGATATACCACCAAATCGCTTTGCCGAAATATAGAAACTGATATGTTATATTCAGTGAACGAGAACACCATTCAAAGTGCGGCATCATGGATCCACTTGGTACTGGTTGCATGACCAGTCTGTAACGTCACACCGCTTTAAAGGGTCATAGCAGAAACATTTGTGTGGTAAACTGGAAATAAACCTACCGTTTTCACTTCCGTGTATTCGTGGAGAGCGTATTCACCCCTGAAACAGAAGAAACACATATATACCAGAGTACCAGAGGTACAGAAGCTCACCTTTAATTACCATGGGAGACTAACCCAGGTGGTTGAGAATCTGCTAAACCACCCCGTGTACAAACATCCCACGCTCCAGCACATGTACCAGTGTGTAGTCCATGTACTGGTATACCCGTAAAGGTCCGGGTTAGAATGTATCTTCAGTAACCCATGCTTGTCGAAAGAGGCGACTAACGGGATCGGGTGGTCAGGCTCGCTGACTTGGTTGACACATGTCATCAGTTCCCAATTGCGCAGATCGATGTTCATGCTGTTGATCACTGGATTGTCTGGTCCAGACTCGATTATTTACAGACCGCCGCCATATAGCTGAAATATTGCTGAGAGCGGCGTAAAACTAACTAACTCACTCACTCACTCTATGTACTGGTAGGTCACGTAAAGGATAATACCAGTGAATATGCTACGGGTGTTTCATGTGAAGGTGACTCAGCGTGTCGTACTCACTCCTCCGGTCTAATTTAATACTAATGGGCCGACATTCGATGGGGATTTACTTTAAGAATATTGTTTCTCAGTCAACATTTCAAAACATAAAGACGTTCTAGGTGCATTCATAAGAAGACCACAGTATCAGATTTCGTCTGTCATCGAGAAAAAGAAGTTCGACTTATCAGGGTTAAGGTGAACTTCGCACATGGTCTGCATCAGTGAGAGAGACGCAGGTTTGTGTTTAGTCGCATTCAAATTCAGGTCTGTGATAACTATGATACACTGCTGTATGTCTACTCACAGTTCTCGGCCGAATCCGGACTGCTTGAAGCCCCCAAACGGTGTCTGTGCGGTCAGCCAGTTGTAACAATTCACCCTGTAATGAAGACCACTGTTGGTTAATTGCCGTCTTAACACCATCAGGAAATACCCGGATGGCGCGGAACATTCACTTCCGCTGTGCACAACGTGTACGTTTGTGGTATTTTACAGCCACTTCAATGGATTCTCAAAAACGCAGCAAAAATGTATTTCCCTGTCTCCCAATTCCTGAACCATTAGTCCTTTCCTCCCTGCCATATTTGTAGTGCATAAGCCCTAAATGTAGGAAGCCGGGATTTTCACTGAACAGCAAATGAAACGCAATTTTCCAAAAAATGCTGTTATTTCTGCAAGTCGATTGAAACCCGATTTTGACTCTCAGCTAAACGATCTTGACACAAATGGATGACGATATATCCGCACAAAACGGGGGTGTGGTCGAATCAAGCCCTCTGGTTGGTTGATGCTTGTTAAGGTGATATTTACAACTGATGCTTTCTTTTTAGAAGCCATTGCTCGAAAAATATTCTTACATTAAGCAGTCAATGAAAGGAAATAAATCACGCGAATTTATAAAGAATGTGCAGATTTGCAAGCATTGACCAATCAGAGGGCTTGATTCGACTACACACCCGTTTTGTGCGGACACATCGTCATCCATTTGTGTCAAGATCGTTTAGTTGAGCGTCAAAATAGGGTTTCAATCGACTTGCAGAAATAACAATAAAGAAGGTGCCATGAGTGGTGATCAATAGGCCAATTATCCATGATTATGTTTACATTAAGTTTTAGTCGATTGTATGCGATGGTAGCGTAGCGATCGGCAAAACAGGCGGGTGGGGTACACCGAAGTGTCCGGCCTTGTCATAATGTATTATACTGTGAAGCGTTTCGAGTCGGGGGTCATCTCAAAAGTTTTATATTTTTCTTAAAATCTTTAATCCTCGCAAAGACACGAGGGCCTGTGGTTGCACGGCCTGTGTGCAAGCTCAAGGTAGCTATACACGATACTAAAGAGACAGTCACTTTTCGCGTTCAGAGGTATCTCCATGGACAGTGATCAATTAGAACTTCTTGCAATTCAATGTCAACAGCATCTTTCAGCTGTTATATTGATAGTGTTTTCTATAGAATAAATGATTAGCAATAATTATGGTTGTCTTCTATTTAAAAACTTGAAAAAAGCCTCACTGGCGTCTCTTTGCTGTTTAGTATATTTTCTGAGACTTTGTCTAGTATATTTTATGTATAGACATATGTTTTGTTTTATGAATCGTATGTGATACTTGTGTCCAGCTTGCACCGTATCCGAGAGGAAGAAGCAGATGAACAGATGCTGCATTTAAATTATATATCTAGTGTATCAAGTTGTGGACAGACATACCAGACGGTGCCGGCCTTGACCCTGCCAGTAAAGGTCATGACCTTGTCGAGGTCCTTGGAGAAAATGGAGGCAGCGAGACCATACTGTGACTTGTTGGCTTTTTCAATGGCTTCCTCCATCGTCTTGAACTTGAAGATACACTGCACCGGTCCGAATATCTGTGATAGGAGAGCAATGTTGACAATATGTTAAGTTTGATCGTGTTTTGTTTCTTTTTATCGTATATTTTAAGCTTAAAAATACAGCAAAGTACAATTCAGAGATGCAATATATTCGTTGCCTGTCCTATGGACCCGACGGGGCGGTGGAGTAGGCTAATGGTTAAAGCGTCACGCTGAAGACCCGGGTTCGATTCCTCACATGGGTACAATGTGTGAAGCCCAATTCTGGTGTCCCCGCCGTGATATTGCTGGAATATTGCTACAAGCGGCGTAAAACCATTCTCACTCACTCATCCATTTACACGATAGTTATACCAACCTCCTCTCTGCCAATGAGCATGTCCTCTGTGACGTCAGAGAAGACAGTTGGTTGGATGAAGAACCCCTTGTCCCCGTGACGTTTCCCGCCACACTGCAGCTTGGCGCCTTCCTTCACCCCACTCTCGACCATGGACAGGATCTTGTTAAACTGAGTCTCATCAATCTAACATAAAATCAGAAATACTGTTTACTGTTGCTGCCACATCACTGGATGTATGTATAGAACAAGGGAATGTAGCCACGAATTATATAATTACCTTGATTGATGGATTAATGTGCCAGCGGGACGTCGTGAACACAAGCTTGGTCAAAACAGTTGACTGAGAGCCTTGGCAGCTCATAACAAATTTAAGATAGAAGTCACATGCGGCCAATATTTTCATAAGACTTTTGGTAAAACAAATTCAAATATCTTCATATTCGAATCCTTGAAAAGATGTAATAAGAAAATACCGAAGGCAACAAGAGGCCCGACAACGTTGTAACGTCACTGCGACAAGGCGACGCATGCAGTGGCACAGCCTTACATAACTACAACATATCCTGTAGATCATGATCATCCCAATGTAGACATGAAAATGACAAATTAACAAAGGACAATCACCTGAGGTCCGGATTCGGTGGAGTCGTCGAGCGGGTTTCCCACTTTCCTGGCCCGGGCTCTGGCAACACTCCGCTTGACGAACTCGTCATAGATGTCCTCCTGGGACGTACGTCCTTGACCCCGCTGCACAACACTGGCCCATGTTAAAGAACAACGCCATGTGAGACATCTCCACGGCGTAGTCCACTAAAACAGAGGAACGGGTGGCTGTATGGCACACACTCTCACCTGGGTCTGGGAGACCCGGAATTCATTCACATCATAATGTGTAATATTTATAACGCGCCTTTCCAGGCTTCATATCCTGCTAATAGCGCACAAATATATATCATCTGTGACAACAGAGACACAGCGGGGTAATGGGGATCACGGAGACACATAAGTGAGTGAGTTTAGTTTTACGCCGCACTCAATATTCAAGCTATATGGCGGCAGTCTGTAAATAATCGAGTCTGGACCAGACAATCCAATGATCAAGAGCACGCGCATCGATCTACCCAACTGAGATACGATGACATGTGTCAACCAAGTCAGCGAGCCTGACCACCCGATCCTGTAAGTCGCCTCTTACGACAAGCATGGGTTACTGAAGACCAATCCGAACCCGGACCTTCACGGGTCGGACACAGGAAAGAGGTTATGGGGATAACATAGACACACAAAGAGGCAGAGAGGGAATTTATAGTGATTGCAGGGATGTAAACCCAGTACTCACAGTCGGCGTCAGCGAACACCACATTTGGACTCTTGCCTCCCAGCTCAAGTGAGACGCGCTTCAGATTGGATTGAGCTGCTAGTGTCATCACCACCCGTCCGATCTTCGCACAACAAGCATAGCATACACAGACAGTCGTGGAAATATGTCAAAATATAGCATCATCCTGTTCTTGCTTTCACACATGTCTCACTGAATGAGAATGTGTTCAATGCAGCTGTGGACACTACTTCGATTACTTCATATCACGACAGCTTCTATATTGTATATATTGTATATATTGTTGATAGGAAGAGTATGGTGAAATTTAATGGTTTACCAGGGCATTACAATATACAAGCAGAGTACTGGCAAACTGAACCGAGATCATCATCAGAGCTAACCTGGGATTCGAACCCATCGTTATTGGATCACGGCATATATATAAGAGAGGCCTACCAACACGCCTAAGTGACTGAAGTGAGTGAATGAGGTTTTGCATTCTTCATCGTACATTGACGCAGTCTAGTTAGGAAATGCTGTGTACAGCCGTGGACCTACCTCTGTCGACCCCGTGAATGCCACCTTGTCGATGTCGGGGTGGGAGGCGATGGCAGCGCCGGCGGTGGGGCCATATCCTGGCACGATGTTGACTACACCAGGGGGGAAGCCAGCCTGGAAACAATGTTAACAACATACTGTAATAAATAATGCCGTGTACACATAATGTGTACATACTACAGGAGCCATATCGTGTTTATGTACGCATGCCATCTTTGCAATCTCTGTACATATAGAAACTTCAACAGTAATGAACAGCATGATCAGTAATCTCTTTGCTGGATTTCTTAAGTTGTACCCTCAAATACTGTCGAGTTAAATAAAAGTAGAGAGTTAAGCTACGGTACCTCTTTAACAAGAGATGCTATGTAGAGCGCCGACAGCGGCGTCTGTTCCGCCGGCTTCATGACGACGGTGTTCCCACATGCCAGGGCAGGCGCCAACTTCCAGATCAACATGGGTACGGGGAAGTTCCACTGAAGCAAACAGATCGACATCATCAGTGTCAAAGTGGCCTTACTACACCACGGTTGGTTCACTACACCAGGCTGTGCTTGTATATTGCAATAGAAATCTTTAGTCAGTATGTTGTTTCGCTGTGAAGGTCCACGAGGCGACTAACAGGATCAGGTGGTCAGGTTCGCTAGCTTTGTTGATGCATGTAATCGTATACCAGTTGCTCATGATGTCAGTCTCTGGATTGCCAAGTCCAGACCCGATTATTCACAGACCGCCGTCATATACCTTGAATATTGTTATGTTTAAACAACAAACAATTATATTCCTTTGTCAAAATTTCTCACTTCCAGTGATATTAATATATGAGAACTTTCGACCTGACAAACTGAAGGTTATTACTATTTTCTCAACGTATCAGTGTTTCATCAGACAAGAATTATAGAAAATGTACATTTACATGAGGAATTCTTGCATCCTTCTGTCCAGACATCCCAAAATGTATTATTTCCTAAACCTAACTCCGCTTGTCCCGAGATCAATCATTAGTCCGTTATAGCTTCACGGTTTTAGATACACGCTGAATAGCCTGAGTATCGGTTGCTGGTCTTGGCGATACACTGTCATAACAATAACTGAATAAAAAGTTTTGAAACAGCTGAACTACCCACCGGAATAATCTGCCCGCATACGCCCACCGGCTCATGTCGGGTGTAGCAGAAGTAGGCACCATCTGAAAACCAGAGTGTAGACTGACTGGGGGACATGAAAACTGAAAAGAGGACTTGTAGACGACTGGAGGACATGACAGCGGCGGGGCCATATCCTGGCAGTGTGGGGGTGTATCTCTGAAAAGAGGACTTATAGACGACTGGAAGGCATGAAGACTGAAAAGAGTACTACAGACTAGAAGACATAAAGACCGAACTGAGGACTTGTGGGCAGACTAGAAGACGTGCAAACTGAAGACAGGACTTGTAGACAGACTAGTTTTTGTAGGCAATAAGGCCCGAATATATATACAGATGTGTCCGTAATATAGACTCAATGACAGTTGTCTGACGCCACAGTCAACACTATTTCAGCTTTGCAACCCCCCAGTCCCTAGACAGATAGAACAGTTTTTCAGTACACTCACTGGCCCAACATTTGTTTGGACATCTTGACAGCCTCCCTTGTCAGACTGGTGGGAAGGTTTGCATACGATGTATTCTCAGATAATTACTAAAAAATGTTGATGATTACTAAAATTAAAGTATGCACAACCATAAATATGTCATTCATATTGCAATATTAAAATCGACTTTCTTGTTGTATCAGAAATTATATTCAACACCAAAGACATAAAAACTGTTAATAATAATGTTCCTCTTTTTGAGCGAATACGTTGATCAACGCACTGTGTAAGCCATGCCACATATAATGCAATCATCTCACATAGTTTGCACTCATCCAACCGAATACACACATATCTGAACCCATTCAGATCGAATTAGCATCAGCATATTACGGTATCATTAACATAGGTAACAATAGATGGTTTGGATTGTGGAGCAGATGTTGGTCTGATGTTACAACGTAATTTCACGTCGGGCCATGATGATGATACTGGACACATATACACAGGGGCATTAATCAAGCACCATCCACTTACATCTATAAGCACGAAACAACTACATGCTGTTGTTGTATATACTGCAAAACCAAATTCCGCAGAGTAAAATTGTAACTGTATTATATTTTACTCTGTTAAAAGCAAAAACAAAGCTTTGAAAATTGGCAACAATTTATTGCAAACTGTAAGGAAAATAAAAAAACGTGAATACGAAAATTGCCGGAAAGTTTGATCGTTATGACTACGCCACCAATCTGTCAAGGAATTACCAGATGATGATTTTGATTGCATGAACCACCACTGGCGACCACATAAGTACCTGAATAACCTCTGTCATTCTCCTCCGCATATTGGCAATTACGCGTCGAATTCTCAACATCCGAATCTTCTGCCATTCATCACGGAGTTCCAGCTGGAGCTAGGCGACCAAGCCGGTCACAAGGATGTTCCAGAAGATTCATATCGGGGCTCCTTGCGGGCTGTGGTAATGGGTGATGGCGCTAGTCTGCCAATGTGCGATGAGAACAGTCAGGTCTAGCGTTGTCATCCATGAATGTGGATGACATGCAAGGTGATGGTCATCACAATGTGTCATGACGGCGGTATCCAGTACTTACTGTTGATAACGTTGACAAATTAATGTTCTAGGTTCTGTTATGGGATCCAACATACGACTGCCATACCCTGAGCCATCACTAAAACACCACCAAAGGGTTCAGCGGGGTTGCAGTCATACGGCTGTCATACTCCACACCATCACTAAAACAACTGCATGGGTGATCTCCTGGTGCTATGACTGGTTACGTCTCCAACCGCGACAACGGCCGCGGGGAACGTGTAGAATATGGCGACATTCACCAGGTCATTGAACCCTACGCCATGTCCTTAAGTTGCGGCTTTCTAGAAGCCTGCACCATACCGGACGTCCCTGCCTCTGTCTCTCTGTGAGGAAGGGGCGTCTGATCCCACGACGTTCCCTCGAACCAGTAGCCCGCATTCTCGTTCTGATGGTACGTACTGGTTTCAGAGTCCAACTCCAGTTCACCTTTTCCGGCGCAGGTCTTGCCAGACGAATTAGGAATCTGTCACCACGGCCATCGGTTTTCCAGGTCTCGGACGTTTTTACTGCATCGGTGGCGACATGTTCCTCACAAGTCGACTCATAACCGTGTCGCGAAGGTTCCAGCAAGCGCTGATGTTGCGACAGGTCACCCCGGCGTCAAGCATGGCAATAATTTGCAATCGGGTATGTTCTGAAAGTCTACGTCTTGCCATGTCAAAACAAGTCAATGTTTGGTAATGTCGTCTTATAATCAGTTCAGGAAACCGTAGTGCATATACTGCAATTCAGAAGTATACCTGAATGTGCTTACCGCCTTTGCAGCACGTGATATGCGACCTATAACGTTTGATATATTGTGTAAAGCATGTGCTGTACATGTCCATTCCATTATGATATTGTATGGTTGCCTGTTCGGACCAAAATTTAAATAATCGCCCTGGTATTCTGATGGTGCGTAATTAATGCACATGAGTGTATATTAACATATTTTTCCACTTTGCCAGGTAAATAGAAAATTAAATAAAGTCATTGCTATATATCCCGACAACTCGTGAATGCGACGTGCCATTCCACGTGACATTACCACATTTCTGGGTAGTCGAGTCTGGTTACGGAGTATCGTCCTTTTAAACATGCAGATGAAACAATAGTCCCTTGTTCGGTTTGCAATCAGAAGAGGGTTTACCGTTTGACTTTAGGTTTGTGAAATTCATAACGAGCTTCAGAAAGAAAGCTAAATCATCAAGTGATCTGTTCCTTCGACCTCAGTTCAGTCAAACGTATTCTTCTCGTCTCCATGTGATATCTCATCATGGGGCTTTGAAGGACAGTATGCGCGCATCGATCGTACAGCACCAGTCAGTCCTGGCGGCGATCAAAGAATGGGTGAATGGCAAGCGTGTTTTATCAATGTTTGGACTATGATAAACAACGTCACTTAAAAATATGTCGTATGAATACAGTCGTTCAATTAGGGCAAAATAGATTTCTAACATATCTCTGTACAAAGCCTTTGTTGCGTAACAGTGATCAGATAATGAAAGAAATCTTCAGTATGACTAAAAAGTTATATATTCAACAATCCTGCCAATAATTCAGCGTCGCATGTTACCTATAGGTATGGTTTTCCCACATATCTTGTCGGCCGCCCCAGCGTAGTAGCGCAGGATGTTGACGCAGCTCCCAGCGTCCACGAAGAAAGCTTCCTTGTAAGGTTTACCGTTGTCCAGAACGTCAAGACTCTGCGAAACAATTCAGGGGTATATACTATACTTAAAACAGCTTAAATGACACATGATATTCCTGTATTACAACAGTTGTGGTTGTCAGTTACAGAACATCCGAATTAATCACATGACTATAGTTGACCTGTCCCTTGAGGTGAGGTGAGGTGAGGTGAAATTGGGTTTAACGTCGTGCTTGAGAACATTTCGCTCATATGACGACGTGCATGCGTGTGTATGTGTATGTGCGGCTGCTTGTACTAGCCCAGACTTAAGCTGGTTCTATAGTGCTAGCTCACTGAGATACTATGCCGCAGTGAAGCATGAATACCCCACTCAGACACAGTATACGGACTCCGAGCCGACCAGTCCTTGTTGTACCCATTAAAGCCGAGCGCCAGGCAGGGACCAACAAGTACCATATTTTTTACCATCTTTTGGTATGACGCGGTCGGGGATCGAACCCGCGACCTTCCGCTCTCCGGTTGTCCTTTGAGCAGTATATATACTAGGACATTGACAGATATAAATAGACGTATCGATGATCCCTGAATAATCTCTCTCACGGCGTTGATCATCACAGGTAGAGTCTGTGTCGTTGTTCTACTCACGGCAATGTAAGCGATGTCTCTCTGAAGCAAATCTGCCAGCTTCTGCAGGAGGCGCCCTCTCCCACTTGCGTCCATCTTCTGCCATGATGACCCAAACTCCAACGCTTTCCTTGCAGCGGCAACAGCTTTGTCCACGTCAGCCTACAGACAAGACATGAAAAACTGAGGTGACAATGGGTTGTTCCTCCCGATATACATTGTTGCCGGCTCAGGGTTGTATTGTCAGGTAAACTTAAGGACAGACGGAGAATCAGAGAATTGGGTAATATTCTGGGGAATTCAAAACCTGTTCATGGCAGTTTAATGGTTTCTATTCTTGGTACCTGCTGAACCTGATAATGGTTTTAGGTATACTTCATCTGGTCTGAACTGGTCTGAGTAGGGCCTGGCGTTAGCACTCACCTTGTCACCCTCCTGCACATCCACTATCTTCGCCCCAGTCGACGGATTCGTAGTCGGGAACGTTTTACCGCTGACGGAGTTAACAAACTCATTGTTGATAAAGATCTGTAAAAGAGATATAATAACTATCATTAAATACACAGCCCAGGGATCCGGTGTGTATTCATCCCGATAAAGATCTGTAAAAGAGATATAATAACTATCATTAAATACACAGCCCAGGGATCCGGTGTGTATTCATCCCGATAAAGATCTGTAAAAGAGATATAATAACTATCATTAAATACACAGCCCAGGGATCCAGTGTGTATTCATCCCGATAAAGATCTGTAAAAGAGATATAATAATTATCATTAAATACACAGCCCAGGGATCCGGTGTGTATTCATCCCGGCTGTCATAGGGTAGCCACTATTTTGTAGTAGCATCGATGCATAACACACTACTCAACTTCTCATCTTTTCATAGGGATACTGATTTGCTTGTTGCTACTACATCCTCGATAATCTCGATAATCTCCAGGGTATACGTATACCCACATTAGTCACATATACGTTAACCTGGAGATTGTCGAGGATGAATGCTACTACTGAAAACAAATTTACGGAATGTGTACCCATGTTTACATGGACTTTGTTCGTATCCACCAGTGTGACTACCTGGAGTACTGCCCTTACCCAACGTCTCCCAGTAATCACAACTAGTCGCCATCTGAACGCTCAAATAGTCCCTTCCAAATGTAGTCTCAAATAGATTTCAGCATATTCCTTCGTCGAATATATATACTCCAGTGTGTGTGTGTGTGTGTGTGTGTGTGTGTGTGTGTTTCTCATCGTTATGTAACTATCATTAAGTGAAACGTATTGATTAAATGTACTGAGTGGTTCCTGTGTAATTGATTTAAGTAGTTACGACGTGTAGTCGCATCTTGGTGATAATGGAAGCGTCTGTCACAGTTAGGGTTGCACCTACATAACTCGGCAGAACTATTGACAACATGTTTTCTGTCAATGTCGGCCGTTTATCTGTCCCCAGTTTATCCTGGGTTCGACTAGACTCGGACCCCTGTTAACCTCCCATTGAAGTTTAAACCCGGGACGACAGACACTAGCTACCTACAGCGCGGGGGTAACCTGTCCCCTCTAGTAATTACCAGCGGTAATGGAGGGCATCAAAACTACCTCTCCTCCAGGCTGGAACATCAAAACTACCTCTCCTCCAGGGAGTCTATGTCGCTGCTTCCAAGACGAACAACACTACCTAACAGGAACAACACTACCTAACAGGAACAACACTACCTAACAGGAACAACACTACCTAACAGGAACAATCGTTAGAGTTCCTGATGGAGATCGACCAGCCATAGCAGCACTGTATTAATGTTTACGGCCGTGAACCCATTACTGAACATTACACAGCGGTCGATTGTGCGATGTCAGCCCGAGTAGGGACGGTTTATAGCATGAGGAGCGATGAAAAAGGGAAGACAGGCGACTTACCTGTGTGCATTTCACTTCCGGTTCCTTGATCGGGGGAATTGGTGGAGTTGGTAAAGCCATGCTGATGTGTGCTCCGACTGAAGCTCCTCGAAGAGGATATCCTTAAATATATGGTAGGTCACGTGACGGCTGACGCTCCGCGCTCGGGGTCACTGAGCCGAGAGCCCAGATTTTCACATTTGGCGTATACTATTCCATTGGATATCGCAATACTGAGTGAACGCTCAGTTTGAATCACTGTGATCGTAATGACATATATTTGGCATTGCATTATGGGAATGTGGAAAATTCATGTACTGATAGTACAACATTGGAAGGCGCATGTATTGGTAGTACAACATGGTAGGCGTATGTATTGATAGTACAACATGGGAAGGCGCATGTATTGGTAGTACAACATGGTAGGCGTATGTATTGATAGTACAAGAAGGTAGGCGCATGTACTGGTAGTACAACAAGGTAGGCGCATGTACTGGTAGTACAACATGGTAGGCGCATGTATTGGTAGTACAACATGGTAGGCGCATGTACTGGTAGTGATTACAACATGGTGGTATTGGTAGTTACAACAAGGTAGGCATGTATTGGTAGTACAACATGGTAGGCGCATGTATTGGTAGTACAACAAGGTAGGTATGTATTGGTGCAACATGGTAGGCGCATGTATTGGTAGTACAACATGGTAGGCGCATGTATTGGTAGTACAACAAGGTAGGCGCATGTATTGGTAGTACAACAAGGTAGGCGCATGTATTGGTAGTACAACATGGTAGGCGCATGTATTGGTAGTACAACAAGGTAGGCGCATGTATTGGTAGTACAACATGGTAGGCGCATGTATTGGTAGTACAACAAGGTAGGGGCATGTATTGGTAGTACAACATGGTAGGCGCATGTATTGGTAGTACAACATTGGTATGTAGGTCGTACATGTATGTATTAGTACAACAAGGTAGGCGCATGTATTGGTAGTACAACATGGTAGGCGCATGTATTGGTAGTACAACATGGTAGGCGCATGTATTGGTAGTACAACAAGGTAGGCGCATGTATTGGTAGTACAACAAGGTAGGCGCATGTATTGGTAGTACAACAAGGTAGGCGCATGTATTGGTAGTACAACATGGTAGGCGCATGTATTGGTAGTACAACATTGGTAGGCGCATGTATTGGTAGTACAACAAGGTAGGCGTATGTATTGGTAGTACAACATGGTAGGTAGCGCATGTATTGGTGAAGCGCAGTACAACATGGTAGGCGCATGTATTGATAGTACCACAAGGTAGGCGCATGTACTGGTAGTACAACATGGTAGGCGCATGTATTGGTAGTACAACAAGGTAGGCGCATGTATTGGTAGTACAACAAGGTAGGCGCATGTATTGGTAGTACAACAAGGTACATGTATTGGTAGTACAACAAGGTAGGCGTATGTATTGGTAGTACAACATGGTAGGCGCATGTATTGGTAGTACAACATGGTAGGCGCATGTATTGGTAGTACAACAAGGTAGGCGCATGTATTGGTAGTACAACATTGGAAGGCGCATGTATTGGTAGTACAACAAGGTAGGCGCATGTATTGATAGTACAACATGGTAGGCGCATGTATTGGTAGTACAACATGGTAGGCGCATGTATTGATAGTACCACAAGGTAGGCGCATGTACTGGTAGTACAACATGGTAGGCGCATGTATTGGTAGTACAACAAGGTAGGCGCATGTATTGGTAGTACAACATTGGAAGGCGCATGTATTGGTAGTACAACAAGGTAGGCGTATGTATTGGTAGTACAAGGCATGATAGTACAACATGGTAGGCGTATGTATTGTACAACATGGTAGACGCATGTATTGGTAGTACAACATGGTAGGCGTATGTATTGATAGTACAACATGGTAGGCGCATGTATTGGTAGTACAACATTGTAGGCGTATGTATGTATTGGTAGGCGCATGTAGGTACAACCTGGTAGGCGCATGTATTGGTAGTACAACCTGGTAGGAGTATGTATTGATAGTACAACATGGTAGGCGCATGTATTGGTAGTACAACATGGTAGGCGTATGTATTGATAGTACAACATGGTAGACGCATGTATTGGTAGTACAACATGGTAGGCGCATGTATTGGTAGTACAACAAGTAGATGGGGGATTGACCGGACAAAATCCACCCAGACAAAATCCACCCCAAAATTGTCACCCCGGACAAAATCCACCTCTTCTTAAGAAAAAAATGGACAAAATCCACCCTTCTCAAATTGCTATTGTTAAAAGTTTTAGTGTGTCCTGATCTTTGATCAAGTTCCTTTTCTCAAGCATTGTTTTGATAGCATTTACCTTTTCCTAATTGGCTGTTGTTCCTAGATGTTGTTTCAAACATTAAAGGTTACTCCATTTGTCATATCTTGATCACTACTTTCCTGTATCTGAAGATCCGGGGTAGAATAGGTCTTCAGCAACTGATAGGCGACATCTCCCACCCTACTGTGTCAGAGACTCATCGACTGTCTGAGAAATCGAGACAACGGTCTTGCAGACTGTACAGCCGCCGCCATATCTACAGGTCCGAAAGAGGTCAGCCCCTGTATCTGAAAGAAAGAACCAGAACAACCACCAAACGTCTCCAAGAACGCCTTGAAGGTCTGTGCAAGACCTACGCAACGAAGGACAAGACACTCGAGGACTTTCTCCACGGCGTCGGCCGTTGTTTGCGTTTTGTAAATGTGGCAAGATGTTTAGTCTTAAATATGTCTGAATGTGTGAAAATATATGTATTGATGCATGAATGAGTCATAAATGTGAAATGTGAAAATGTGTCATATCTATATATGCAAAAATGTGCTTACAAAATGTGCTTACATATGTATTTTGGTTGTTTTTGTTATGAATGACTGATATGAATAAAATTCATTTCTGTGACTAAACATGTCATTAGTTTGTTATTTTCTTAGGGTGGATTTTATTGGGGGTGGATTTTGTCCGGGTGGATTTTGTCCGGGTGGATTTTGTCCTAGGTTGCATTTTTCCGGGTGGATTTTGTCCGGGTGGATTTTGTCCTGGATTCGTAGATGGGGTGTGTGTACAGATACAGCATGGGAGGATATTTCTGGGCATACCAATTCAATACAATTCAATTCAAATATTTAAATACATTTAATAATTGGATAATCATCTAAGGTAAACAATAGTTTGAATTTTGCGAGATTCGGCCATGTACTACAATAAATCGGTAACATTAAAATATTGAACAGATTGATTACAGAATCAAGTGCCAAATCGAGGTTTCTTGACTTCTTCTGTAGTGCGAACATGGCCCCTCTTAGAGCTGGACAATAAATCATTGATTGCGAAACTATATCTCCTATTGCGATGAAGTTGATGCCAAGATACGTAGAATGTTCTACAATTTCAATTGGTTTAAAGTCAAACTAAAGATATAGTATAGTTTATTACAAATACAATAATCATAGTTTTGCTATGTTAACACAGAGTTTTCATGTTGTTTGATGTTTTAATACATCACGGGAATTCTGAAGTTATTTCTGGGTTTCGCTATAAGTATCGCATCAGCTGCATCTGCAAATCCCCAAATGCCCTGTCGCTGGACAGGGTGGTGACAAATCATTTGTTATGTAGGGAGGCCACAGGTACGGTTAACGCAGCTATATGGCATGTTTCTGAACAAAATGAACGTTATAACAATGTTAAATAAAAACATTGGTTGTAAAGGGGGGTTGTGATTCACATGAGGCGTCACCGTTTGGCGCGGGCCCGTTCCACAAATCAACCTTAGCGACAATAATTAGGTGATACTAAGTCTTTGTAAACGTCTGGGAGTAGAGGTTACCACGGCGCTAACATCGCTTTGTGGGACGTGGCCCAGATAAAAGTATGTACAGTGGTGGAGTCGACGCTCAGATCAGGTCGAGAAATGGACCAGTTCAGGTGAGGGCACTGGTTGGCACAATGTAAGTCTGGAGGTTTGGTAGTGAGACGGAAGGGGATGAAAATCTACTACTAATTAATAATTACTGTACTTTTCGAAATTTGTAATAAAATGAGAGAAATTGACACGTGTCACGTCATTCGTCCCGGTTTTTGACACCTCCTTCGTACGTGTTTGTACGAGAAGTGTGACCTGCCAACGGCGGGTTTTAAGTCTAGTTTGAGAAAGGCTTTGTAATGGAAGTGATCGGTCGTGGTTGTAGCACCTATGATGGGCACTTGTATGACGAGGTCTCCCTATATTCCGTCCTGGATAAATAACACGACAATGTAGTATGCAGTGGATGAGGCGGTAAGTATTAGTGGGGTGGAATGTTTGTGCCATGTGCTACAGACATCTGTTGGGGCTGACAAAAGATTGAACTGATGGATGTGGTTCAGCGGAAGGTGGAGTAGGAGGTTGGGAGACGAATAGTGTGTGAGTGTGTGTGTGTGCGTCTGTGTGTGTGTGTCTCTCTCTCTGTTGCCGCCTTCGTTGTGCCTTCACTTAAAAGGTGTGTGTGTGTGTGTGTGTGTGTGTGTGTGAATTGGTGGGTGAGTGAGTGAATGATTGTACGGGTGAGTGAGTTGGTGGTACAGTGTGTGAACTGGTGAGTGGGTGAGTGAGTGTGTAAATGATTGTACAGGTGAGTGCGTTCTTGACAAGACAATCCAGCGGCCGTCAACAACAGCCCAGACCACCTGAGAAACGATGGCACCACCAGCACACGTACAGTCAGGACCCCACATCTAGACCCTACTTCCGTCAGTCTGTCGGAGCTTCTGCCACTTCCCTGCCTCCATCGATTCTTTTGTGGTGGTCGATGGGTGAAGTGGAGATCTGGAGGCAATCTCCCTGCAGCGAGGGACTCAGCATACCGCACTGATTGTGCATTCATTGATATCGAACCTCGTGGCAGGCAGTGATAGCTGTGATGGCCGTGTGCATATTCATAGAAAATATTTCGGTCCCGTAATAATAACAGGTTCGTCAAGTGAACAGCCAAACGTTCGAGTCGACCCAGCAGTTGGAATTCTAGGTTGTCGTAGCCTTCTATGTTCTTAGTCCAATAAGATACCAAACCAGGGGCGTAGCTACCATTATATATATTAAAAAAACGGGCTTACACATGAGTGTTGCTAAATAGGTTGGGCAAGCCCTCAATACTATCTAAAAATAAAGCTTTGCAACCTATCGGGCTTACACCAAAAATTGGCTTGCTACGC